GAGGAGTACCCTTTAATAAAACGTCTGTAATAATTAGAAAATCCAAGAAATCTTTGTATGGCTTTGAGTCCCTTAGGTAAAGGCCAATCTAAAATCGATTTTAGTTTGGTCGGTCCATCATAAACCCGTCTTTGGAAATTACGTAACCTAAGAAAGTTACCTGAGACTGGTCAAAGCTACATTTTTCCAATTTACAATACAATCCATGTTGTAAAAGTTTCTGTAATACCTTTCTGACTTGTCTATGATGTGAATTAATGTCTCTAGAATGGATTAATATATCATCCAAATATACAATTACACATTCATGTTGGAATTCTCTAAGAACTTCATTGATCAAGTCTTTAGAGACGGCCGGGGCGTTACAAAGCCCAAACGGCATTACGGTATACTCATAATGCCCGTAACGGGTATTAAATGCTGTCATCCATTCATCTCCTTGTTTAATTCGCACTAAGTTATATGCTCCTCTTAAGTCAAGTTTAGTAAAAATACTCGAGCCCTTTAGTCTGTCAAAGAGTTCAGTAATCAAAGGAATAGGCATTTCTGATAGTAATTTTGTTCAATCCCCGATAGTCTATACAAGGACGTAAGGTACCGTCTTTCTTTTCTACAAAAAAGAAACCCGCCCCCGCCGGAGAAGAAGACTTTCTAATAAATCCCTTGTCTAAATTCTCCTTGATATATTCCTCTAAAACTAAGTTTTGGTGGATAGAGGGTATACCGTACCCCTGGGAGGCATAGTACCAGGGAAAAGTTTAATAGAACAGTCATAAGACCGGTGGGGAGGTAAAGTATCCGCCTTACCCTTGTCAAATACAGATTTGAGGTCTAGATATTGTAATGGTATCTGAACGTCTGTGGATTGGGAAGTGTTAGTATAAGAGTTTACGGGGCAAACAGAAGTAACTCTCTGCAGACATTCTTTCCTACAACCCATACCCCAAGAAACGATTTCTCCACCCTCCCAGTCAATCTGAGGGTTGTGTCTCTTGAGCCAAGAATATCCTAGAACCACCGGGACTGCCGGGGAGGAAATTAACAGAAGGGAAATCAACTCTTCGTGGAAAATACCAACAGTAAGCTTAACGGGTTCGGTCTCATGGAATATTACTGGTTCAGATAAAGGTCTACCATCTATGGCCTCAACGGCCAAGGGTGTATCTCTCAATTGGAATGGGATACAATGCTTATTAGCGAAAGTTTGGTCTATAAAGATTTCTGCTGCTCCAGAATCTAATAATGCCATCGTAGAAATAAACCCCTTTTCCCAAGCTAGAGAGACAGGAATCAGAAGCCTATGGTCTTTTTTATTATGCATAGAGGACAGTAATGAAACACCTAAGGCCCGTCCTCTAAGGGAACTTAGGTGCGAGCGTTTCCCGGACGATTAGGGCAACTAAGACGTAGGTGACCTCTCTGCCCGCAGTATAAACAAAGACCCTCCCTTCTTCTGTACTGTCTCTCAGCCTCAGATAAGTGAGTATTACCTATTTGCATAGGTTCTGGTGGAGTAGGATTATAGGAGTCAGGGTTCTGAAATGAGGGAGCGAGTCTTACAGGAAGTCTAGTAACTCTTTCCCAAGTGTTCTGCCTCTGTCTCATGCGTTCATCTATTCTGGAAATGAAGGATATTAAATCCTCTAAATTTTCCGGAAGTTCTCTTGTGGCAATTTCATCTAAAATTTCATCAGACAACCCATTCAAGAAAACATCCATAAAAGCTTGTTCGTTCCATTTCACTTCTGCTGCCAATGATCTAAACTCTAAAGCATATTCTACAAGGGTCCTATCTTGTTGTTTAAGGCGTAACAGGGATCTGGCCGCATTAATCTTCCTCCCTGGGGGGTCAAAGGTTCTTCTAAAAGCCGTGACAAACGCAGTGTAGTTGTAGACTAAAGGATTGTCATTCTCCCAAAGGGGATTGGCCCATCTAAGTGCTTTATCTATTAGCAGGGTTATAATAAAGCCTACCTTAGCCCTGTCAGTGGGTAAGCCCGGGGTTGTAGTTCGAAATGTATACTTATCTGGTTTAAAAAACCACGACAAGCATCAGGCGAACCCCCATATCGTAATGGTGACGTGACATGGGAAGATGCGCCTACAGTGGCTACTTCCAAACCAGTACTTAGCGAGTGGCTAGCAGTGGAACGTATTTCTTCAGACTGGGTACTGGAGCGTGTCAACAAAGTTTGTAGCGCTAAAGCCATTTGGTCCATTCTATGGTCCATGGCCTCAAATCTGGGGTCAGGAGGACTAGCACCTGCAGGATCCATCATGGCCCTGTCGTAATGTCAGGAAACTGACAGGGATCCAATACGCAGAGTGCGCACAGAAGGAGGTACGTATACCGGACCTTAGAATGGCCGGACTAACGTAAGGACAAGCAAGAATAGTCAAAAGGTAAGCCGAGGTCAAGGGAGCCGGAGGACAGGTAAGCGAGATACAAGCCGAGTCAAAGGAGAGGAGAGGACAACAGGACAAAAGACAAGCAAGGGTCAAAACCGGAAACACAAGATAAAGAACGCGCTGAGTGACTAGCAAGCTAGAACCACGACAGGGCAATGAGCAGTAGTAAAGGTTTCCTTTAAATACCCTGTTACCTAAATAGAGACCACGCCCCAAAAGGTCCGGAATAGCGGTTCCCGGCACTTTATGCAAATGCCGACGTCATGACGTCGACGCTAGCCGTCGCGTCATAAAAGGGGGAGGAGCTAGCGCGGCCGGCGCGAAAACGGCCGGAATATGCCGAAATGCTAAGGGAAGGGAGCCCCTAAGCAGAGAGGATGTCCTCCCTGGATACATCACCCACAGGTACCCTGACATATAGTGAGTACAGTGTCCCTTTAATAATGAGTATAAAAGGAATCCAATAGGTGAGCAAGTATATGAAGACAACAGTAGTTAAACTGGTGGGCTGAGAATGTGTTCCTTATTAATATAGTGGAGGCTAAGCCAGTGGATAATGAAAGAATGAAGGGTTATACAGAAAAAATGCCAGGTATGACAACTGAAATACATTTCCGCCAGTGTGCTATGTATGAAGATTCATTTCTCATCATATCTGATCATATATAAAATCTAAAAATTATAATGCAAATGGTAGTGTGAATTTACTCTGTAATGTAATGGTACGTGAGAATCAGAGAAGCAGTATACAAACATATAATACCATTCATATTACAAATATTTGTATATGATATATTCTCACACATATATACTCCTTACCATACACACATTAAAAAATATATTAAAATGAAATAACATAATAGATACAGACTGCGGCAAAACAAATCAGAAAAGTATAAAAGACAACAGGCAACCAAAGATAAAATATTTAGTCCAAATGTTCTTCTGATGGTCTAAGTTGAGTTATGTGGTTGGATCCGTCCTCATAAGTTGCATATGAAAGAAATGGGGGGAAAAGGGGATACTGTCACTACCAGAGTTTGTATGATAGCTCTATGACATGTGAGTGGGCACTTCTGCACTTGTGTTGTTTGTTATCCACTTGTGCTACATACTAAATACTACAGTATTCCTTTTTTCTTTCATATGCACATAAGGATGGATCCAACCACATAAGAACTCAGGCCATCAGAAGAACATTGGGACTTTATTATTTATCATTGATTGCCTGTTGTCATTTATACTCTGTTGATTTGTCTTTTATACATTGCTGATATGTTCAGGTTCAACCTGTTTCCTGTATCTTTTGTGTTATTTCATTTTGTTGGGACATAGAGGGGTCCCTATACCTAGTGTTTGCTACTCTTTGTAAATCGTTTTAGTATGCCTACAAAATCCTTATCCATTTTCTGTAACTATTATAATTTAACAAAATGGATTTGTTAAGAACGATCTTTAAAATTATGTTTTTGGAACAACTGAAACCAATCAAAAAATGTATGGCATATAACTGGCCCTAGTCCTGTTTGTT